CACCACCAGCAGCAGACACTCACTACCACTGCACCACCAGCAGCAGACACTCACTACCACTGCACCACCAGCAGCAGACACTCACTACCACTGCACCACCAGCAGCAGACACTCACTACCACTGCACCACCAGCAGGAGGCACTCACTACCACTGCACCACCAGCAGCAGACACTCACTACCACTGCACCACCAGCAGCAGACACTCACTACCACTGCACCACCAGCAGCAGACACTCACTACCACTGCACCACCAGCAGCAGACACTCACTACCACTGCACCACCAGCAGGAGGCACTCACTACCACTGTACCACCAGCAGCAGACACTCACTACCACTGCACCACCAGCAGGAGGCACTCACTACCACTGTACCACCAGCAGCAGACACTCACTACCACTGCACCACCAGCAGGAGGCACTCACTACCACTGTACCACCAGCAGCAGACACTCACTACCACTGCACCACCAGCAGCAGACACTCACTACCACTGCACCACCAGCAGCAGACACTCACTACCACTGCACCACCAGCAACAGACACTCACTACCACTGCACCACCAGCAGGAGGCACTACCACTGTACCACCAAGCGGCACCTCCATTGTGCCTGGAGAGGGATCAGGAATCCTACTCGCTGATCTTGTGAGAGTTTGGTCCAATAGACTGTTGCTGGGAGCGGTCCGCAGCCTCACATATCAACTAAACCCAGCTTGGTCCGGCACTTCTAACAAGATGGTATCTATTTTTTTCTTGAAGTCTACGTTTGTTCTGGTATTATTTCTTAGAATTGCTGGGAGGATATCTAACAACTCATGGACCTCTGATGTTCATAGTGTTCTCTGATAGTGCCTATGGCACCCCCTCTACTTTTATTAGCGAGGGTAACATACTTTTATTACATGGGCGAGACAGCACAGGTCATATGAATAGTATGAGTATTGTGGTGGGGTCCCTGAATGTGAAGGTTCACATAACCCCTGGGGTCCCTGAATGTGAAGGTTCACATAACCCCTGGGGTCCCTGAATGTGAAGGTTCACATAACCCCTGGGGTCCCTGAATGTGAAGGTTCACATAACCCCCACTACCATTCTCCTGGCTGGCGGTACTTTTGTGTGGTTTTGCTTGGGGCAAAACAAAGCAAATGAACAGATCTACTAGGAGTAGGTCTGATTGTGGCTCAACTTTGTATTTCGTTTAAGGTCTTTAAATTTTTTCCTGGTGTAAGTACCTTCACTGTAGTTAAGTAGTGTAAGTAACAGTGACTTATCACTGTTAATCATCAAGTTATCTTCTGCTGCCCAATCGAAGACTATTAATATCATCTGTAGTTTTCAATGTCTTCTATAAAAACAATTTTCATGAAGATTTTTATATCTGTAAAAGATGACACGAAAGTGTGACCTGTATTTTTTATCTACATACTATATGAGAAGGAGAAAAAGCAGTGGTGCCAGGACTGTGCCCTGAGGTACAGAGCTTCTCATTGTGCTTGACCTTCCGCTTCTGTTATTGTTTGACAATATCATAATATGGGGCCTGACAACTGAGTGGACAGCGCTTCGGATTTGTGGTCCTGAGGTTCCGGATTCGATCCCCTGTGGAGGTGAAAACAAATGGGCAGAGTTTCTTTCACTCTGATGCCTCTCTTACCTAATAGTAAAATAGGTACCTGGGAGCTCCTACGGGCTGCTTCCTGGGAATGTGTAACAAAAACAAGGCCTGGTCGAGGACCGGGCCGCGAGGACGCTAAGCCCCGAAATCATCTCAAGATAACCTCAAGATACTGAATATCCATCGTCCTACTTTATCAATTATTCCTATTGATTTTATTTTATGAGCTATCACTCCATGGTCACACACACGGGATTCCTTCGCCAAGTCTGTGCATACAACATCTGCATTCTGCTTTAGTTCTACTTCCGTGACTGTCAGTGGTGGAGTAACTGTGCGAGGCGGGAGCTTCTCGCTCTACATCAACGTTGCCACGGTTGTGGAGGCCATTCGTCTCCGTGTATGACTTGATTTGATTCCTAATCCCTCTTTCAAAAAAACATTTATTCGTGTGATGTTAGTGGGACTGGTCTATAATTTTTAGCCAATGATTTCCTCCCTCTCGTGTGGAGTGGAGTTATATCTGTTGATGTAAGTGCTTCTGGTATTTCTCGTGTATCAAGCTTTTTGTCCACTTTACACCGAGCGCTCGTGCCTCTGCCACTTTCCATTTATTTATAGAATTCCATATGTTTGGACCCGGAGCCGAGTGCATAGGCGTGTTAGCAATTTTTCTTTCCAAATTTGGTCTCGCATGATCATTTAAATGCTCTTATTTTTGTCGATCTCCCTGTGATAGTCGTGACTGATTAATTAAGCATTTCCGTTATCTTTTCCCTCTCTCTACTTCCGTCTGCTTCCTAAGATGGTCCTTTCTGACCTGTAAAGCATCATGTTTCAGGCTTTAGGCATGTTTTTCAGACTTTTTATGTTGCGCGCGCGCGTGTGTGTGTGTGTGTGTGTGTGTGTGTGTGTGTGTGTGTGTGTGTGTGTGTGTGTGTGTGTGTGTGTGTGTGTGTGTGTGTGTGTGTGTGTACTCACCTAGTTGTGTTTGCGGGAGTTGAGCTCTGGCTCTTTGGTCCCGCCTCTCAACCGTCAATCAACAGGTGTACAGATTCCTGTGTGTGTGTGTGTGTGTGTGTGTACTCACCTAATTGTGCTTGCGGGGGTTGAGCTCTGGCTCTTTGGTCCCGCCTCTCAACCGTCAATCAACTGGTGTACAGATTCCTGAGCCTACTGGGCTCTATCATATCTACATTTGAAACTGTGTATGGAGTCAGCCTCCACCACATCACTTCCTAGTGCATTCCATTTACTAACTACTCTGACACTGAAAAAGTTCTTTCTAACGTCTCTGTGGCTCATTTGGGTACTCAGCTTCCACCTGTGTCCCCTTGTTCGCGTCCCACCAGTGTTGAATAGTTCATCCTTGTTTACCCGGTCGATTCCCCTGAGGATTTTGTAGGTTGTGATCATGTCCCCCCTTACTCTTCTGTCTTCCAGTGTCGTAAGGTGCATTTCCCGCAGCCTTTCCTCATAACTCATGCCTCTTAGTTCTGGGACTAGTCTAGTAGCATACCTTTGGACTTTTTCCAGCTTCGCCTTGTGCTTGACAAGGTACGGGCTCCATGCTGGGGCCGCATACTCCAGGACTGGTCTTACATATGTGGTGTACAAGATTCTGAATGATTCCTTACACAGGTTCCTGAACGCCGTTCTGATGTTAGCCAGCCTCGCATATGCCGCAGACGTTATTCTCTTTATGTGGGCTTCAGGAGACAGGTTTGGTGTGATATCAACTCCTAGATCTTTCTCTCTGTCTGTTTCATTAAGTACTTCATCTCCTATTCTGTATCCTGTGCCTGGCCTCCTGTTTCCACTGCCTAGTTTCATTACTTTGCATTTACTCGGGTTGAACTTCAACAGCCATTTGTTGGACCATTCACTCAGTCTATCCAGGTCATCTTGTAGCCTCCTACTATCATCCTCTGTTTCAATCCTCCTCATAATTTTTGCATCGTCGGCAAACATTGAGAGGAACGAATCTATACCCTCTGGGAGATCATTTACATATACCAGAAACAGTATAGGTCCAAGGACTGACCCCTGCGGGACTCCACTTGTGACGTCTCGCCAATCTGAGACCTCACCCCTCACACAGACTCGTTGTCTCCTGTTGCTTAGGTACTCCTCTATCCACCGGAGTACCTTCCCTTTCACTCCAGCCTGCATCTCCAACTTTCGCACTAGCCTCTTGTGTGGCACTGTATCAAAGGCTTTCTGACAATCCAAAAATATGCAGTCTGCCCACCCTTCTCTTTCTTGTCTGGTCGTAGAATTCAAGTAACCCTGTGAGGCAGGACCTGCCATCCCTGAACCCATGTTGATGCTGTGTTACAAAGTTCCTTCGCTCCAGATGCTCCACTAGTTTTTTTCGCACAATCTTCTCCATCAGCTTGCATGGTATGCAGGTTACGGACACTGGCCTGTAGTTCAGTGCCTCCTGTCTATCCCCTTTCTTGTATATCGGGACTACGTTAGCTGCTTTCCAAATATCTGGCAGTTCCCCTGTTGCCAGTGATTTGTTATACACTATGGAGAGTGGTAGGCACAGTTCTCTTGCTCCTTCCTTTAGAACCCAAGGGGAGATTCCATCTGGGCCTATAGCCTTTGTCACGTCCAACTCTAGTAAACACTTCCTTACTTCCCCACTGGTAATCTCAAACTCTTCCAGTGGTTCCTGGTTAGCTATTCCTTCACTTACCTCTGGAATTTCTCCTTGTTCTAAGGTGAAGACCTCCTGGAATTTCTTATTCAATTCCTCACACACTTCCTTGTCATTTGTAGTGAATCCTTCCGCCCCTATCCTTAATCTCATAACCTGTTCCTTTACTGTTGTTTTTCTCCTAATGTGGCTATGCAACAATTTAGGCCGAGTCTTTGTCTTGCTTTCGATGTCATTTTCGTATTGTCCTTCTGCCTCTCTTCTCATCCTGACGTATTCATTCCTGGCATTGTGACTGTGTGTGTATCCTGGCTGTGTGTGTGTGTGTGTGTGTGTGTGTGTGTGTGTGTGTGTGTGTGTGTGTGTGTGTGTGTGTGTGTGTGTGTGTGTGTGAGAGAGAGTTTTATTAAATCAGTTACCCATTAAATGTGTGCAAGTCCAATGTTTATTTTCCCCACAATCAATCCTCGTATTATTAAAATTGACTTTATGAATCTCATTGTTTGTATAGATCACATCTACACTGTTCTGGCTCCTAGTTGGCTGTGTTATATACAGGAAGCGTGAAAATCTGAGCGCAGAATGTGAGTAGTCGTCTTACTTGTGGTGACTGCTACAGCGCCAGCAGGAGGCAGCAGCGCAGAACACCTTGTCCATACCACCACAGGCTGGTGGAGCAGCATGCGGGACACTAACACGTGTAAACATTAACACTCACCGTTCCTGGCCGCGGTGGAGGCCGAGCTCTGCAGCACCAACATCACCAGCACCAACAGTGTGTAACTGCTGCTGCTTCTCCACCGCCTTCTGCTGCTGTGAGACGTCATCCTGCTGCTGCTGCTGCTGGTTGTGGGGGTCACGGGCGGCACGCCTCCCTCACCTCCCCACCATCACCGCCTGCACAACAAACACACAGTATTAGTTGTAATGTGTGAAGAAGCACACACACGCCCACCACACACAACACATGACGACACCCACCAGGCGGTGTACATGCCTCAGCACAGACAGGGTCCCACAAGCCCTGGGAGCCATACACCCAGGACTGCCCAACAGTCGACCTGCAGCGAGACCCGCCTATAGTCGCGTTCCGGAGTCTCCAAGCCCGTAATGATTCATATGTGCGGGTGCGAGCAGCAGTGTCCAACAGCCTGGTTGACCAGACCAGCAACCAAGAGGCCTGGTCAGAGACCGGGCCGCAGGGGGACCTTGACCCCCGGAATTAATCAATCAAGGCAAGGTAAGCCCTGTCCCGTGGTGATCACTAGGGCTGTTACCCCGGGGCATGGCGGGTAGTTGGGACCAGTAGGAGGGGCACGGGGGGGGGGGGGTCTTCACGAGCCGCTCGTCAACCCGGAAGTTTGGTCCCAACAACCTCTAGACACCCACTCTGCCCACCTAGTCCAGGGTGGTAGGGGGGTGGTGTTGGTGTTGGGGGGTGTGTGTGGGGGGGGGGGGGGGGGGGGGTGGGGGTGGTGGTGGTGGTGGTGGTGGTGTGTGTGGTGTGTGTGTGTGTGTGTGTGTGTGTGTGTGTGTGTGTGTGTGTGTGTGTGTGTGTGTGTGTGTGTGTGTGTGTGTGTGTGTGTGTGTGTGTGTGTGTGTGTGTGTGTGTGTGTGTGTGTGTGTGTGTGTGTGTGTGTGTGTGTGTGTGTGTGTGTGTGTGTGTGTGTGTGTGTGTGTGTGTGTGTGTGTGTGTGTGTGTGTGTGTGTGTGTGTGTGTGTGTGTGTGTGTGTGTGTGTGTGTGTGTGTGTGTGTGTGTGTGTGTGTGTGTGTGTGTGTGTGTGTGTGTGTGTGTGTGTGTGTGTGTGTGTGTGTGTGTGTGTGTGTGTGTGTGTGTGTGTGTGTGTGTGTGTGTGTGTGTGTGTGTGTGTGTGTGTGTGTGTGTGTGTGTGTGTGTGTGTGTGTGTGTGTGTGTGTGTGTGTGTGTGTGTGTGTGTGTGTGTGTGTGTGTGTGTGTGTGTGTGTGTGTGTGTGTGTGTGTGTGTGTGTGTGTGTGTGTGTGTGTGTGTGTGTGTGTGTGTGTGTGTGTGTGTGTGTGTGTGTGTGTGTGTGTGTGTGTGTGTGTGTGTGTGTGTGTGTGTGTGTGTGTGTGTGTGTGTGTGTGTGTGTGTGTGTGTGTGTGTGTGTGTGTGTGTGTGTGTGTGTGTGTGTGTGTGTGTGTGTGTGTGTGTGTGTGTGTGTGTGTGTGTGTGTGTGTGTGTGTGTGTGTGTGTGTGTGTGTGTGTGTGTGTGTAAACATGGAGGCCGGCAGCTAGACTAACAGTGGCATGACCAATGTAGTTGAGGATGGGCTCTGCCACCTCACCACTCACATAAAAACAAAAACCTTCAAGACGAAGGAAGACCAGCACCATAGTGACCAAGGACACACTGTAGAAACCTACACCTAGAAACCCCTACGGTATTTACCGTGATGATGGGCGAGCAACGTTGGGACCGGGGCCGTGTTGGACCCCCGACCTGCTCAGGCCGGGCACTAATTACTCCCCCCCCCCAATGTTATCGTAAACAATTCCAGGTAGAGCAGCCACACCTACCACTTTTGACTTACACATCTCTAACACCAACTGGCACCTCCCAGGATCATAGTCGTCCCCCACTGATGATCAGCCAGGTCTCCCAGCCCAGGTGATGAGGACCGTGCCCACCTGGCCGCCCCCGGTACTAACCACACTCCCGCCAAACACCTTATATTAAAAATTAGTATAAACATCAGAGGTCCGCGGTTGTTCAAAACCTTTCCAGCAAGTATAAGAAATATTGCCGGAACAACCGTGGACATTTTCAAGAGAAAATTAGGTAGTTTTCTTCAAGAAATGCCGGACCAACCGGGCTCTGGTGGATATGTGGGCCTGCGGGCCACACGCTCCAAGCAACAGCCTGGTGGACCAAACTCTCACAAGTCAAGCCTGGCCTCGGGCCGGGCTTGGGGAGTATGACTCCCACAACCTTATCAAGCAGGTATCATGCAGGCATCATATGGTAAATATGAACCAGAGTCGCAGACACGCGCAGCGGCTAGTGCGCCTGGGTACGAGCCACAGAGGGATGGGAAAGGAGCAGGAAAGAGCTGCAATGGTGAGTGGGAAGGTATGGGATGGGGAGGAGAGGGGAAAACGATAAAAGCGTGTAGGTAACACCGCCTCCCTCAGCGGCGGCCTCAGCGGCGGCCTCAGAGCCGGCCATCAAGCTCAGGTGATGCTAACAAACCAATACTACCATTACCATATTCTCCTCAGCCCCCCCCCCCTTCCCCACTTGGGCTGGGCGGTAGAGCGACGGTCTCGCTTTATGCAGTTCAGCGTTCAATCCCCGACCGTCCAAGTGGTTGGGCACCATTCCTTCCCCCCGCCCCCTCCCAAATCATTATCATGACCCCTTCCAAGGGCTATACAGTCGTAATGGCTTGGCGCTTTCCCCTTCCCCAGCCCCCCTTGGACACAGCTGGGGTCCCCCCGCCAGAGGCACCAGTCTCTCCCACGCCCCCCATCCACAACGACCACCCACTGCCCCCCACAACGACCAACAGCACAACTAACAATGTCTATATAATGGTCTGTGGACATACAAGTACCGTGATGGGTCTCAGGTACGGGGCGGACAAGTGAGGTTGAGAGGGGGGGGGGGTTACGGTGTGACCTCACACACCTTCCCTGCCCCCATTACCACTCAGAATGTTTGGTAATATGTTTATTGTTTGTGATGTGTGCATATATATGTATTAACACGTTGTACTGAACGGGGTAAGAATAGCTTGAGCTACCTCATCCCATTGTGCGTATTTTACCTCGATAAACTTATTTCAATTTCAATTTCCCTGCCCCTGGTAGTCTGTCCTCAATCACACCGCTAATTGGTCATCTATCCAACCACGACGCCAGGGGCTGCTACCACGACGCCAGGGGCGCCTACCTCTTTTTTCAATCTTTGGCATTTACTGAACAGTTTGGGCTCCAAAGCGCTGTTTATAACACTATATTATTGGGACGCTTTAATGCCCGTAAACAGTTTAATGCCAAAGATTGAGAAAAGATGCAGAGTAGAAGAGTATCTGCTTGATGAAGCGTGCCCCCTGGTGATGAATAGTTCGGGGAGGGATGAGTGTCACTATGATGATGCCACTTGACACCGGCACTGATGGGTCACAGTGGGCCATACCAATACATACCTGCCCTACCTGGTTAAGAGATCAATGACTGATGAAGATTAAGCCACCAAGAGGTGGCACGGGCATGAACAGCCCGTAAGTGGTAGATATTTTGGAGTGAATGTGAAGAAGAATAGTTAAGATGATGTTTTAGATTCAACTACATTTCCATATGAGCCCGTAGAGTAGTTATAGTTGTCAAGAGTGACTTGACTCATGACTCGTGTAAGCTACCGTCCAGCCCTCGTTCTCCACAATATTGCCTTTCAATTTGACGTATAATTTCTGTTGGATAATAATAATAAGTATAATAAACTGATGGACTTAAAATGGTAGCGGCTCGCGACACTGATGTGATGTCCCGTTTTCTGTTCGTTGGACCTCGACTAAGTAGGGATCGAACAGTTTAGTCCATAATTTTGGTGAGGTTGTGAACGTTGGGAAGAACAGACGGCAGTATTATCAGGGACAACTCTAGCAGGTATCTCAAGCTCCAGAGACTTAAAGGATTTATTAATTGTTTACAAACCTCAGCTCTAAGAACTTAGGGTTGATACTGTCGCGTTGTTATGAAGCGAAGGCTTGTGTTGTACAGCAGTGTTCCATATTGAGGGAAAAACTCCATATTTACCTTAGGCTTCCAAACAACCTCGACTCATTTGTTTTTGTTTAAGTCCTTTCATTACATATATTTTTACCGAATTGATGGTAATCTATGTCTTCTGGTCCATCACTGGAGAGTTTGTAACTTTGATATTATTGGTGATTTTAAGAATACGGTAAGTTGATGTTGGCCGGCGTGCACTGGGTGTGTGCACCCGCGTGCACTGGGTGTGTGCACCCGCGTGTACAGGAGCCGGGAAGCCATGGTGCGGGGTGCGCGTGCGGAGAGTTGTGTGGGTGACAAGTGTGGCCTCCAACAAGCACCCGGTAGTTAATATCAACAGTAAGGGCGACACCATCACCTCCACCCACTGCGTAACCTACATAAATGCTCAATAAAACAAACATTTCCCTCATTAATTAATCAGGGAAACAGCACTCATAGACCTGAATGACATTTCAACGTCAATTATAAACATTTTCCTCCTAAGAGAGCAGTGTGGGGGTGAGTGTGGGGGGTGAGTGAGGCAGCGGGCCGCCGCGCGCGTCAACAACAGGCTCACTAGCCGCCAGGGTCCGCGCGCTCCCACATATAAATACCTATACACAACACTGGCAGCGTGGATGGTGACGGAGACGGGTTTTATTGTGGTAGTGAGGCCTTTATGCCTGTCAGCGGGTCGTTGTGTGTCACTACCACCCGACACCACACACAACCTTCCAAGCAGGCCGCCATTAACTACTACGCTCCTCAATTACTACCACAAATTGGAACCTGCCACACTGAAGCCAACACGACGCTCAAATACCCGTTAAAAGGGAGTAAAATAAAGAGGCGTGCGTGGCCGTGAGCGAGAGCACCTCCCAATACGCCACATCTTGCCAACACATCTCAAGCCATTGTCACACCTCCCACAACTTCCGCTACCTGGTTGATGGGGTGCTGGGAGTTGTTCTCCCCAAGCCCGGTCCGAGGCCAGGCTTGACTTGTGAGAGTTTGGTCCACCAGGCTGTTGCTTGGAGCGGCCCGCAGGCCCACATCACCAGCAGCAAGTGTATAGTGGCCTCGAGGCCGGCCCCTGAGGCGGCCCCACACACCACAGACGGTCACCGTGTTCAACACGTTACCACCAGCCGCATAATGTC